TGAGGACACAGGAGGGGGAAGGGTAAGCTGGGACAAAGTGAGAGAGTAACATATGAGATCTTTTTTAAAAATTTTTATTTATTTATTTTTGGCTGTGTTGGATCTTTGTTTCGGATCTTTGTTTCTGCGTACAGGCTTTCTCTAGTTGTAGCGAGCAGGGGCTACTCTTTGCTGTGGTGCGCAGGCTTCTCATTGCCGTGGCTTCTCTTGCTGCAGAGCACCGGCTCTAGGTGCACAGGCTTCAGCAGTTGTGGCATTCGGGCTCAGTAGTTGTGGTGCACGGGCTTAGTTGCTCTGCAGCGTGTGGGATCTTCCCAGACCAGGGTTCAAACCTGTGTCCTCTGCATTGGCAGGCAGATTTTTAACCACTGCGCCACCAGGGAAGCCCACATATGAGGTTTTTAGTTCAGAGTCAGGTTTCTTTTTATACTCACAGCAAGCTCAGCAGCCAGAGAACATTGCAACATTGTTTCCTCATGCTCAGCACTCCCCCACCCACACACACACAGAGGGTCATGTGAGAGCCAGAGGAGAGAAAATGCTGTATACCATTGGTGGGTTCACTCTGTAGGTGAGATACAGAAAAATATGGGTTTCCTCTGTTTGTGAAGGATAAAGACACCACTTTCCTCCCATCACCTTCTGAAAGTGTCCTTGGAAATCAGATGGAAGAGATCCTTACCCTAACCCTTTGGTATGAAAATAAATCTCTGAAGGAAAAGATAAGCCAGTGTGTTCAGTTTTACAAGTCAGAGATGTTTCCAAGGCCCTGGGCCTCACTATCTGGTCAGTCAAAAATTGGCTTCGAAGTTGGATGTCAGGTAACGAAACAAATTTCAGTGAAATTTGTTCAGAAATCCCCAACTGTGCAGAAACATATTTTCCTCTACAGTGTCATAAAAATTTTAGAATAATGGATCAAGATAATACCATCTAAACCACTGATTACTTATATCACCAAAAACCTAGATAACCAGACATTATACTATATGTGATATAATAGAAAACTCACAGTACCTCCTTTGAAGTATTCTTGTCAAATAATCGACCTGCATCTAATCAAGCCTCTAGAACCAGCTACCAGTTTTCAAGAGATTAGGAACAGAAGAACATGTTAGACAATGCCACAGGGGTGCCATCAGCCAAATCCAGAACCTGGGAAATTCTACAGGATAAATGATGTGGTTTCTACAATAAGTAAATAGCAAGAAAAAAGGGGGCAGGAGAGGAGAGATTTAGAAATTTAAAATACCGTGAAAGAGGTAGCAACCAGCACTTCTCTGGTGGCGCAGCGGTTAAGAATCTGCCTGCCAACGCCGGGGACACGGGTTCGATCCCTGGTCCAGGAAGATCCCACGTGCCTTGGAGCAACTAAGCCTGTGTGCCACAACTACTGAAGCCCGCGCGCCTAGAGCCTGTGCTCTGCAACAAGAAAAGCCACCGCAAGAAGGCGGTGCACTGCCATGAAGAGTAGCCCCCGCTCGCCACAACTAGAGAAAGCCTGCACGCAGCAACGAAGACCCAACGCAGCCAAAAGTAAACAGATAAATAAATTTGTTAAAAAGAAAGACCTAGCAACCAACCAATCTGTGTAGATAGAATTTGTTTAGATCCTGGTTTCAGTATATCAACTGAGAAGAAAAAACTATTTGTGGACTATCAGAGAAATATGAACACTGAATATTAGATGATATTAATGAATTAATGTTAAAGGTATGATAATGGTATTGTTCTCTTTTTAAAATAGAGTTTTTCTCTCTTAGGCAAACATTTGGAAATATTTACAGATGAACTGATATGATAATTGCGATTTGCTTTAAAATAATGGATGGAGATCCAGAGGGAATGGGGAAGTAGAGAAGAAAGAAGAATGGCCATGTGCTTATAACTGTTGAAGCTGGGCCATGTGTACTTTGGGGTCCATTATACTATTCTCTCTACTTTTGTGTAGGATGAAGATGTCCATAATAGAAAGGGTTTTGTTTTCTTTCTTTCTTTCTTTTTTTTTTTTTTGGCCAAGCCACACGGCTTGCAGGATCCTAGTTCCCTGACCAAGGATTGAACCCAGGCCCTTGGCAGTGAAAGTGCCAAGTCCTAACCACTGGACCGCCAGGGAATTCCCAGGGTTTTATTTTCTGTATTTTTCTTAAGTGAGTTCCAAGAGGATAGGACGTTGCCTCTTCCTCCTTCTGTACTAGTTTCTCTAGAGGTGCCATAACAAAGGACCACAAACTGGGAGTTTAAACAATAGAAATGTATTTTCTCCCTGTCCTGGAGGCTGAAAGTCCAACATCAAGGGGTCAGCAGGTTTGGTTCCTTCTAAGGGCCATGAGGGGAGGATCTGTTCCAGGCCTCTCCTTGGTTCATCGATGGTTATCTTCTCCCAGTGTCTTCACATCATCTTCCCTTGGTGTTAATGTCTGTATCCAAATCTTCCTTTTCTTGTAAGCACACCAGTCACATGGGGTGGGGGCCCACCCTAATGACCTCTTTTAACTTAATTATCTCTGTAAAGTAATTTTGACTCTAAACACAGTCACATTCTGAGTCACTGAGAGTTAGAACTTCGATATATGAATGAGGGGGGCGGGTGACACAATTCAGCCCATAACACTGAACTAACCCCAGCACCTGGCACGGTGGCTGGAAAATAGAGGGGCTCTAATAACTGTTTTTCGAATGAATCAGTGATGTTAGAAGATGGCAGCTGGGCAGCAAGACCCTGCTGCCCGAATTCTCCCCTTTCCACAATGTCTTCTTGCTGTAGTTTTAATGATGGGGGTCCTTTCCATCTAGTCTGGGGGCCTGAGTTTGTTGCTGTCGGGGCATAGTTAGCAGGAAAACAATGCAAGGCAGATCAGCACAGGGTTGGATTACCGCCACCGCAGTTCTGCGAAGCTCCATCGTAGGCAATTTATTGTGAACATGGTTTTAGTAACAAGACAGTCAGACAAGACTGAGTACATCAACCCAGGCAAGGTCCAACGGGGCCTGACAATTGCCTGCATTCCCCAGACTTGGTGCTTTCTCCAATCATAATCGCCCACTTAACCTCAAATGAATGAGTACTCAGAGCCCATGCCCTCAAAGGTGATGGGGAGACACAGGCTATCATTAACAGATGGGAGTTCCACTGAAGTGTTTAAAAGCCAATAAGGTCTCTTTAATTCAGCTGTGCACGTTAATAGCCAAAATGAAACAAGAACATATCTGCAATAAAAAGGTACAATATAATCCTTTCAGTCTCAAATACATTTAACTACTTAACTATAGATCCATTTATTCCTTTGATTTTTGCCTATGATGTAAAAGAATAAGAGAAAATTAACTAATTCAAAGTTATTGAATATATGACCTACTTTAAAATTATGTTTAAAATCTCGAAATCAGGCAATTACAGCAATATTAAAGCATTTAGGATAAACGCTGTTTTGCCAGCTATTTCTTTCCTTTCCTTTTCATTTCTGGCTTGCAAATTTTAAAAAAGGCACTTCAATTCTTTAAGATAATTTTTTCCCAATTATAAATTCTTCATGTTCACTGAAGAAAATTTTGAAGACACAGAAAAGCATGAAGAAAACATTTAATCCCAACCTCAGAGAGACCTATGCTTAAACTTTCAGTATTTTCTTCCAGTTGTTCATTTAAACATTTATTCTCTATGTCATATTTTCATCCCAATTTGGCATTATGCCAGGTCTTTTCCCCATGCCGTTAGAATTTCTTGTAAATATCATTTTTTCTCTTTACTTCTTTATTGAGGTATTTCTTGTATTCAACAAGTACACAAATCGTAGGTGTACAGATTGATGAACTTTGACATATGTATAGACCCACATAACCATCATTCCAGATCTCTATATAAAATATTTCCAACACTTCAAAGCTCCTTTTTGCCCCCTCCAATTGTGCCTATTCTTTTTTTTTAAATTGAAGATTTCTTGATTTACAGTGCTGTGTTAGTTTCAGGTATACAGCAAAGAGATTCAGTTAGATATATATGTATATATATATAAAATATATATTTATGTTCTTCTTCAGATTCAATTTTGCCTATTCTTTTTTTTAATATTTTATTTATTTATTTTTGGCTGTGACACATGGCTTGGGGGATCTTAGTTCCCCGACCCGTGCCCCCTGCGGTGGAAGCACGGAGTCTTAACTAGTGGACCGCCAGGGAATTCCCTTGACTATTCTTGATCTTGATCTAAGTGGAGCTGTGTCTCAAGTACTCTTATGTAGTTTCTTTCACTAAATGTTAGCTCTATCAGATTTATCCGTGTTTCTGAATATTCCAGTAGTTTATTCTTTTTTTTCTAACTGCTGTACAGAATCCCATTGTTTGAAAATGTCAACAGTTACTTATCCATTTTTTTACGGATGGACATCTGTGTTTTTTCCAGTTTAGGGTTATTATGAGTAAAGCTACTATGAACATTCTTGTGCCTGTCTCTTTCTGGACATAGGCACCTATCTCTCTTGGGTACACATCCAGTAGAATTGCTACATCCTATGATAAATGTATGTTTTAGCTTTGGCAGATGTTGCCCATCATTTGGTAAAGCAGTAATACCGATTCACCCTCCCACCAGCATCGTATGAGAGTTCCAGTTATTCCCATTCTCACCAGCACTTGGTATTGACAGGCTTTTAAATGTTGGTCATTCTCCTGGGTGTATAGTGGTTTCTCACTGTGGTTTTAATTTGCATTTTCCTGGTAACTAAGGGTGTTGAGCACCTTTCCAATTTGGATATCTCTTTTGTGAATTGCCTGTTCAGATATTTGGCTATTATTCTATTTGTTTGCCTGCCATTTTCTTATTTATTTGTAGGAATTCTTTAAGTATCTGGTGATCTTGACTTGAAGGGGTTACTTATATTTAAGAACTAACTAAAACTTCAGAGAGCATGGGCTTTATTATAGAGTGATGGGGGTTTTCTGGGGGTTACTCTCAAAGGTTTCTGGAAGATTCTAGAAGCCTTTTCTTTGGATCATTCAGACTCCCCAGGAGAGACTCCATCAATGAAGGAGGAGCTGTGTTGATGAACCCAACCAAGAAGTGGATGAAAAGAATGGGGAAAACGGGCAGTCAAGGGATTACTGGAATCAAAGAACATGGTGATGTAAATGGTGAGGGCTGGGAATTCCTTCAACCCAAATAAGGTAATAAAAGGTGGGAAAAGTTAGGAGAAAAATTAGGGTAAGAGGTGTGTTAAATGTGTGGTTTCTTGTGTTGGGGAGCCAGGGCAGCGGAGAGGGTGACGGTTCTTACAGTTCAGTGTTTGCTGTTCACTTGATTTCACCTGTTGCCAGGCCTGCGGGTGACCTCCAGCCACCCCTGCACCCTGCACCCCTACATGTGGGCCTCAGAGGTTCACAGGACCAACCACGTAATTTATGGGGCCCAGTGCAAAATGAAAATGCAGAGCCCCTTGTTCAAAATGTATTCAGAATTCCGTGGGGAAACGGGGAGATGTTGATCAAAGGGTACAGACATTCAGTTATAAGATGACTATGTTGCTGAGATCTAAGGTACAGCCTGGTGACTGTAGTTAACAATATTGAATTATACACTTGAGAGTTGCTGTGACAGTAGAGCTTTAATGTTCTCACCGTAACAACAACAAGAAAATGGCAATTATGTGAGGTGAAGGGTGTGTAAACTAACCTTCCTGTGGTAAGAATTTTGTAATATATAATGTATATATATGTGTATCAGGTCATCATATTGTATACCTTAAACGTACGCAGTGTTGTATGTCAATTATATCTTGACAAAGCTGAAAAAAAAGTAACTGTGGTGGGAATAATGAACCAAATCATATAAAGGTTGATGTGGTAATAACATCAAATCTGATCTTTAAACCTTTATATCCAAATTCCTGCTGGCAAGAAACATAGTCACCAAAAGGCCAGGCTTTAAAAAGTATTTAAAATGTCCAGGCAAGGGAGAAAGTATTTATGTCTGGACTTAACAGAGTGAGTGAACATTTTCTTCGAATCCATTGAATGAGGGGATTTACTCAACATAAAAAAAAGAAAAAGAAAAAGAATTTCAACATAAGAAGAGCAGAGCATTCATTCACAAGCTGCAGGAACATGAAGCAGACCCTTGCGGTTCAATTTCTCAAAAGGATAACCTCCCCTTGCCCGTTTGAGGGAGGTGGTGTAGGATGGAGATATTTAAGAGGGGAATCAACCTGGTGGTCCCTCTGGCCTGGAGGCAGTCCCCCCATCCCCTCACCCTTGGTTTTGAGGCCACCTAAGAGGTGCCTGCTGGGTTCTGGGTGAGCCCTCTCTCCTCTCAGCAGCCTCTCTCTGAACTTCCTTAAATCAATTCTCTCTCCTTCCTCTTTTTAAAAAAATGTATTCAAATTTCTCATCCATTGTTGTCTTTAATGTTCTCTGTCCTCATGGGTGAACGTATTCCTCGTTTATTTACTATAATTTAGTGGGATTTTAGGGGGAGCGGAGTTCAGTGCCTGAGACTGGTCTGCCACTTAGGGCCTTGAAGAGCAATCCACCAAGAGGGGACAACAGCAAGCTCCTAAGGGGCTTTTGGTGATGTGTTGAATCTCTCTGCCGCGCCAGCTCTGGAGCCAGGCTGCGGGGCTCCTATCCCAGCCCTCCAGTCAGCTGCCGCATGACCTGCGCATGTTACTGCTTCCGTTATGCCTTAGTTTTCTTACCGATGCAACAGGGCTATTACAATAGTACTACTGATGCTGAAAGCTTGGCCTTTGTGCACGGGTGCTGAATCAAGTCTCGGAGACAGTTTTAGGTGAAGTAGAAAAGAATAGCTTTATTGCTTTGCCAGGCGAAGGCGGATGTAGCAGGCTCCTGCCTCTCAAAATTGTGTGCCCCCAACCTGGGAGGATTTGATGAGAAGTCTTATAGCAATGGTTCAAGGGTGGAGTTGCTGATAAGATTAGGGTGCGTGCAGGCTCTCCTGAATCTTGATGAGTTTCTCTAGTTCCTTTAATCTGGCCTCAGGTGGTTTCTTGCCTGCTCCTCCCTTGATTAGCAACTCTTCGAATCTGCCCTTTGGAACTGAGGGAAGGTCATGGAGGCTGGAGTCTGTCCCCTACAAACAAGAAACGGGACAGAAAGACTTCCGTGCCCTGGAGTCCCACAGGGTCCTGCTTGTTAATACAACACTATGAGTTAGTATCTGAAAACCCAAAAAAGTTTCTTACTGAGAGGAAGAGGGGAAGGTGAGTCTCCCATGACCGGAGCAAACAACACCTCTGTGGGGTACTTCCCCCAGAAACGGGAACAGTTGGTGGGCTTTGAAAAGAGGAGTGAGGGTCTGCTTACAGCTTGGGAACACTTCTCATTTTGCTTTTTGTAGATTTTGATCACTTGATGTATGGTCAGGCCACTCAAGGTGGCTGTTCTCTTGCTCTCTGTACATCCCCTGCCCGACCAGCGCCTGCTTCACCTACACCCTCCTCACCTGACTGACCTTCCTGCATACTTGGTGATTGTTCTTATCAGAGGCGTGGTGAGGGGCGTGCCCCCCTGCTAGTCTCTGGTAACTTATGAGCCAACGTGAGGTCAATTCCCCTGTAACTGGCAATCTCCCCGTCCCCCCTGGGAGCGAAGACTGCTGCCATGTTCTGCCCATGTTCTGCCACACACGGTGGAGTGTCTCTCCAGAACCTTCCTTCCCCCTTCCATTAATCTACTGATGTCTCCTTTGCTGACTCTGGGCTCTTTCTTCCATCTTGAAGCTGGACAAGTACAGTCCTTGCAGGTCTGCAGGATGCAGCCCAGCACTTGGTTTACCAGGTTGACATTGGCCCAGAATGTGGAAGAACAAGCCACTACTTTCTCATCTGAACTGTTTGTGGAACCACCCTCTTCCCTCTCCCCACTTCCGTTTGGGCTTCTGGTTCAGGTCTGCAGGTCTGGAGGGTCCAGATCTGACCCCACCTTCCCAGAAGTTCAGTTACTGACAAAGGTTGTCAGTGACTGGGATCCCACTGGTATGAGGGGCACGTGTGCTGGCCAAGGCTCTTTTGGTTACTAGTGGCAGAAACCCAGATATTATAAGGCAAATTAAGAAAGTTTTGGCTAAAGTAAATAATCCATGATGAGACAGGTTGGAGCAGGCCTCAGAGACAACAGCAACTCATTCTCTCTGCATTCATATCTCGGCTTCTGCCTGTGTGTGACTCATTCTCTCACTCTAGTGTGTACAACAGGGGCCACGGCCACTAGAGCTTCAGGACTCGAGCCGGGCAGCCGCTCTACTATCTTCTACATGGTTGTGCTTATGGCTTTGTGAAGTTATCTATAGCGTTAACAGACCTAGAAGCGCACGCATGCATGGGGGCTAGGGTTTCATTTTAAAAGATAAAGGGTGACTCTGTAACACATCTGAGAGCATTCTTATCTCCTTGGACCTTGAGTGACAATAAGCAAAAAGTGAATGACAGGGAAAATCAGAGTACGGCAGAACGCCATCTGCATGGACTTTTTCTCCTAGTCCACTCGGGCTGGCTTTGAAGTGAGCTGCGTAACTCACGAGCATTGGAAAAATTCTGGAGCAGAGCCGATTTTCTGTACTGCACCTGAATAAGCAAAGGTTCATGAGCTTGCGTCTTCATTTCCCCTTCATCAAAAGTCGATCCCTTTCTTAAAAGGGATACTCATATTTCTAAATTCATATTTTCCCTAACACAAGAACAATTTAATATTATTCTGATGCCACTTGAGAGAAGAGGTAAAATTCCTAGATCATTGGAAGAAATAATATACACTCCAGAAAGAAAACAAACCAGGAAATGTAAGGTTCTGAGGAAGTGAATGGAAAAAAAACTGGAGTCAAAATATTGTTTATTAGAACAAAAAGGTAGCAGAGAAGAAAGAAAGTGAAGAACCAGGGTAGTATGTGAAAAGCACAACTGAATGAGAATCTAAAAGACCTCCTGGGAAACAAATACAGGATACCTGATAGGTAGATAGATAGGTAGATAGATAGATAGATAGATAGATATGGATTAATGGATCCAGGCATGACCAAGGTGGCTTCCTAGATGGCATGGACTTGAGTGAATATTATCTCAGACCCACTCACAGTTGTCCACCCCTGCTGACTTACAGAAAGACAAGTGGCCCAGCTTAAAAGAGACCAGAAAGAATTTTTATTTTATTTTAGTTTAGTTTAGTCTATTTTATTTTATTTTTTGGCCACACCATGCAGCATGCAGGATCCTAGTTCCCCAACCAGGGATCGAACCTATGCACCCTGCAGTGGAGACACGGATTCTTAACCACTAGACTGCCAGGGAAGTCCCCAGAAAGAATTTTTAATATTTGTAAATTATTAGGCAGGAGACTGAAGGCCCAAGGAATATGCATGGTATTGTTGCTACTTCTTGCAAGCCATCTATGGGACTTTGGGAGAGAAATTGAGGGCAGGAATGGTTTTCTACCAGATGGTATGAGGGCATTTGGCATTCTGGACTTTCACATAAAGGGCTAGAATCAGGTATTTCTAACTAGAGGGGAAGTGGATCCCACAAAGACAGGAAAGAACAGACTTGCTCAGAGACTAGCTGACATGCTCAGGAGGATTCTAAAGTAAAGTGTATTCATTTTTTTTAAAATAAAGAGATGTACAAAGATGAAAACAAAAATGATTCGGAAGTCTACTGTGCAAAATAAATCTTAATATTAAACAACAAATAGATAAAATAACCCGTGCACTTGTGAGAAAAGTTCAAATAGTACCTGAGAGGTTTTTATACAAAATATGGGTGAGGATGGAGGGGGAAAAAAACCAAGTATGACATGGTGGGCAATAAGTGGGCAAGAGGTTCCCAATGATTCTCATGAAGAAAGTGGTTGAGAAACAAGATGATTATGATGGCCTCAGTTTCCCTGATGTGCAGAGAATGGCCAATAAGGTAAATTCACAATTTTAATTAACTAAGACTGGTATGTTGAAATTCAAAAGTGGAATATGATGTAAGAGCTTTCTTTATTCCAAAGAAATATATATTAGGTAGCATACCATGAATATGTGCAACAACCCTCATGAAGTCAATGTATTTATCAAGCACGGGTAATCTGCCAGGAATTTTTCTAGATATTGGAATCCAATACCTGCTCTCAAGGAGCTTATAGTCTATGATCTCAAGTTGCTTTTTGAATTCAGCCAGGTATAAATAGCCCCAAATTGTTCGAGTAAATAAGGACACACCTGCAAGAAAGCTGTGTTAATTCTCTGAAGGGGTTGAGATGTGATCAGTCTTTTTTGAAAACACACACACAGAAGAGGGGAAGAAGGGTGCAGAACCAAAGATGACTTTGCACGGTTAGACAGATATGTAAAAATGGAATCAGGAAGATTAAAGTCCAACAGAAGATGGGGCTTGATTTTTTTCTAAGTAAACATTATTGAATGACCCCAAAGCACAGCAATCACAATTATATCACTCGTTCATTTTCACAAATTGAACACACCCATGTAACCAGCATCCAGATCAAAAAAACAGAGCGCAGCCAGCATCTCCAGAAACCTCCTTATGGCTTCTTCTAATCATCACACACCCCATCCCGCACCCTTGGCTACGGCTAACTGCTATCTCGACTTCTAACACTATACCTTACTTTTGCCAAAAGTAGTTCACTTTCTTAAAACTACTTTGCTCAGGTAAAACCTGCACATATTTAAGTGTGAAATTAAGCACCACCCAGTCAAGGTACTGAACATTTATTTCCATCATCCCTAAAATTTTCCTGTTTCTTCGTAATCCATCCCACCTACTACTCCTGTCCCTAGATGACCTCTGATCTGTTTCTGTCACTATGCGAGTTTGCATTTATTAGAATTTTATACACACGGGATCCTACAATAAATGGGATCATAGATCCTTTCTTTTTTTTTTTTTTAAGTCTGCCTTCTTTTACTCAATGTAGTGATTTTGAGATTCATCCATGTCGTTTCATAAGTCAGTGGTTTGTTCCTTTAATATGGATGAGTAGTATCTTATTGCGTGGCTGTAACGGAATTTGTTTATCCATTCACCAGGCTTATAGTTATTACAAATAAAGTGGCTGTAAACATTCAGGATCAAGTCTTTGAAGAAATATAAGCTTTCATTTTTCTTGGGCAAATACCTAGAAGTGGAATGGCTGGGTCACATTGTAGGTGTGTCAAGATGCGGCCAAACTGCCTTCCAAGGTGATGTATGAGAGGGCCAGTCGTGCCCCATTCTCACCACTACTTGCTATTATCAGGCTTTTTAAAGTTTAGTTATTCTACTGGGTGTATAGTGGGGTCTCATTGGGGGTTTAGATTGCATTTTCCTGATTACTAGTCATGTGAAGCATCTATTCATGCCCTTCTTGGCCATTTTAATATATTCTTTTGTGAATTGTCTGAGTGATTTTTTTTAATGCCAAGATCAGCAAAAGGGACTTATGCAAATGTTCAGAGGCAAGGGAAGGGAGAGTGGACCATAGATGCAGTGTTGCTGGATAGTAAGGACAAGGCAGACTCTTACCTTGCTTTAGTTTTCTATTTCAGGGGGAAAATCTTCAACCTAAAAGGAGGAATGGCAGCCTGCATATAGGAAGAAATAGCAGATCCATAAAATGAATTGGAGAGTAGAGACCTAGTGGTCCACCAATAATCATTTCCCCCTTCTTTCTTTAGAATCTCCAAGTTTTAGTTCGATATAGGGTGACCAGCCTCTCTTTTTGCCCAGGACTGAGGAGATTCCTAGGATGCAGGACTTTCTAGAAAATACTTAGGTAAGCCTAGGGAGAAAGACTTAGGTAGACCTAGGGAGGTCCTTGGCTATCCAAAATGAAGATGATTATTTCCCAGGCTCCCTTTCAGCTAGATGTGGCCATGCAATTAAGTTATGACTAGTGAAATAAAAGCAAAAGTGATGTCAACTTTCTGG